CCCAGAGAAATTAAGTGACTTGCTCAAGGTCACAGAGCTGGTGAGTGGCAGAACTAGGTGTAAAACGTTAGCATACTGGCTCCAGAGTGCCTGCTTTTGAACACTTCTCTATGCTGACTCTTGCTGAACTATTTATTCTCTCTCTATACTCACTGGATCACTGGAACAAACACTAAAACCCCTTAAATCTTGGTTTCCCCATTATAACACAAATATAACAATCTCAAGTGGTGATTACCAGGAATAACACTAGAAATGCATGTGGAATACTTTATAAGTCCTCATACAAATATTAATATGTCTATAATTTTTGTTGTGCTTGTAGAACCTTCCATTATTTATGTAATCAAGTCCAAATTTCTTATTCTAGCATTGAGAACCATGAAAAGGTAAATTCAGCCAGTCATGTCATTCTCTTCACTATTCTATGTGTGCTTATTTCTGTCTTTACATTTTCAAGCTTGCTGATTCCCTAAGCATTTCTCTAATTCAGGACTCTTTGTGTCCTACCTCTCCAAGCAGCCGTCTAAGATAATGCCAGTCTAGTCTGTACTCGTCTTTTTCTTTTCTGATTCTGTCCTCCCATATCCCTTTCAAGAATAAGTAGCTCATCTTGCCAATTTGGTTATAAATTCCTGCAGGCACCATGTCTTATTTCAAGTGTATTTGTTGTGTCTTTCCAACATACAGGAGGTTCTTGAGGAAAATTCAGTGGCTACCAAGTTTTCAACTTTCCCCCAGCATCTCGCCTCAGGGCTGGACACACACTCAGCCTGCAGGAACAGTTGTGGATTTGTTTTAATGTGCACAGCATCTGTTTGAGTGTTCAGCACACAGTGAACACCCCATAAATTGTATTTTTAGAGACAATCTGTTACCACATAAGGACTACCAGAAATTACTCCTTCTCTTTGTGTAAGTGGATTTATACAATTATAATATTTAAGAGCTGAAATAAGGACGAGGAGAAGAAAATCTTAAGGCCTTTTTTTAAAGACAAAGGATCATTAGAACTTCTAGTCCAAATGTGCTCACCGGTGTGTCACAGAATAGGTGTGAGATTTGTTGAAAATAATTTGTTATTAATGATAATGTGTCAAGTTTGAGAATAATTTACTATTTTCAATGAATTAAAGTTGATTCTAGTTTTTTCTGGTAATAAGCTCATTTTTATTCAATTGTTTTCTTGTGTGAGAAGGCTAAGTCTACTTTCTTTCTCAGATGATAAAACTAAAGCTCATAAAAGGGAAGGACCTGGTCTAATGACATACAGAGAGTTAGTAGAAGCATGAAGGCTAAATCCTAGGTCTTCTTGTCCTCTGTTGAATGGTCCTCCCATTGTCCTCAGATCCTACTCAGTCAGCAAATAAGAAAGAATCAGTGTGATTTAAGAAGAAAGCAAAACAGAATCCAATAAAATTTGAAATCTTATATATATAAGTGAAAATATTTGTCTCCTGGTCAGGGATCAAGGTTTGGGAAAGGTTTCTCTTGGAGAGGCAAGGCAAGAGGAGTTGATGAAACTTCCTATTTCCTTTCCCTCTGTTATAAATCATTCAAGAAAGTATATATTTACCCATTTCTTCCTAAGACTTTACCTTATCTCTGTACAAATATCCATCCTTGTATATTTGCTTTTGTTCTAGAGAGAAACTCAGAAAGTCCTATTGAAAAACAAACTGCTCAACACAGAAATTTTAGTTTGTAAGAGCGGAAGAATCAGCTTATTCTTAAATTTCAGAACATTTGAGCCATTTGCACAGTAGGACTGAACAACTTTTCTGATGAATTTGCACAAAAGAGAATGTGAATAAATGCAGTTTAAAACTAATGAGATTTCTTCCACAAACCCTTCCTCCAAGTTACCCAGATTATTTTTTAAATGTACTTGCCTTCCAGAGATCAACTTAGTAAATAAATATATTTTTTTTCCAAAATTCCAAGTTAAACATTTGAAATGTAATCACATTATAAGTCTTTAGTATCCCAATGGCACCTTTTTAAATTTATTTTTTTAAGATGATGGTTTGGACAAAGATAACCTACATTTACTTTTTCATAATATTCTATAACATGACAAAAGAAAACACACAGCAAAGTATTGCTAGATTTTCCTTTCATTCACTAATGCTCTTAATAAGCTCCTCAGAAATCTCTAGAAAACAGAAAAACTTTTTAAATGGAAGCTTTTTCTTATTTTCCACTCTTGAAAAAGATCATGACAGGTAAATATTGCAAGATTGAATGATTTATTTGTTTCAAGTTAAAATCTGTTTGACCAGATAGAGACACATTGGCCAGGCAATAAAACTATGGCTGAAGATTATGGTCAAGAAGAGGCCAAACACCACTTGTCTGCTAAGAGCTTTGCTCACTAGAATGAATCATTGAATTTCTGAAGCTCAACTGAATTGTCCAAGGGTTTGTCAGTCTCCCTGATGATAAGCAACTTGGCAGTGTTGGCTAAAAGGATGGGGTGATGAAACACTACATGGGAAAATACTATTTTCCATGAAATGTGATAATGTGGTCTTCCTAGATTGACTCATAGTTTAATTTGCTTAATTATCACACAGAATAACTAAATTCATTCATCAAAAAATACAACATCCTTGAAAAACAGATAAATGGAAAACCCACCACTTTCACCCCCCCCCAAAAAAAAAGCAGTAGGATGTTGTGATTTACAAATAAGTAAGAAAAATGGTTTAAATTTTTAAAACTCAAGTTTATGAATATAAAGCAACCTAAGACAAAAGGACAAATGGAGTCCTGTAGAAATAAAATCAGAGTTGGGATATATCCAAAGTAGACAACTGAAAAGAGAAGAGGTTTAAGAGATTTTCAGGCTTAAATAATAATTGTCTCAATGCCCTGCTTTCTTTTGTGGGTAGCATCCACTCCCAAAGTAGCCTAGAATCATAGAGCACTAAAGTTGGATGTGTCCATGGAGTTCATCCAGTCTTCCCCTGTAGTAAAGCTGAGCCCCAGTGAGAGCCATGAGTTGTCTTCATCGCTTTATAGCCACACTAAGATCAGAACCTCAGCTCCTAGGACTCTTCCCTGCAAAATACCACCTGTCGGTACTTATTTTGTATAAATTGGACTTTATGAAACAACCTTATTCTAACCAAACTATGATTTAATATGGTCTTGAGCCCAAAGAATTTCTCTTCTATCTGGAAGAATTAAGAAACAAACCAATCAAATACGCAGAGCCAGAGAAAGAAACAAATGATAACCCCAGAAGAATTCATCATTCAACTTTATCAAGGAGTGCATTTTCTCTCAGCTTACAATGTCCCAATTCCAAAAGCCAATAACACGGCAATCTCACAGCTCAGTAGTAAAGCTACTTTTAACTTTAGAATGAGATCATTGGGTTCGATGGACAGACCCAAGTATCAATTAAAATGGAGCCTGGCTGCATGTAATAAACTTTAGATCTTGTATGTGTGTTACTGTGCTTCCCTGTCATTTTCATGGTGTGTGTGTGTGTCCATGTCTGTATCTGTGTGTGCCTGTGTGTTTGTGTTTCTCATAAGTTCCAAAAATGTTTGAACTAAATATTTAATACTTCCTGGAACAGCTAAAAGCCCATTGTAATTATGCTTTAAACTTATATCCTCCAGTTTTCAACCATTTCTTCAGTGTTCATATGAGAACCAGAGCTTAATTTATTCATTAAAGAAATACTTATTGGAGAGTTATAATACTTATTTGGAGAGTGCTCCAAAACACTATGTTAGATATTAACAATATGAAAGTAAAAGAGGCTTGAAAAGTGAGGGATTAGGCCAAGGATTACCCAAAATACATTCCATTCACCAATGCTGTCTGCCTGACAGTCACTTTATCAGCCAAAAGGTACCTTAGGTTGTATGTTGTATCCTGCATTCTGTCAGGATCAAAATGTCCCAAAATGCCGGGTAACAGTCTGACAGATAACTAGCCGAAATGGTCTCTTTTATGGTAAATGTTGATAGCAAACATAAAATAATATCTTAAAGTATAATTAACAAAAATTATGCATAGCTAATTACAAAGCAGTTGCCCAGGCAAACACTGATCAGGTACATTTTCAGCCCCCATCCAGGAATGACAAAATCTATTTTGATGTTTTTTTGCCAGTATAAACTGACACATTATCAACTTAATATTTTATATTACATATGTTCAAAATGGAGAGCTGTACATTACTTTTATTCCCATTTTATTTCAACTGATCTTTTAAAAGGATCTAATGATCTGGTATACTACCACCAGTTCTCACACTGCAATAAAACACTTTAAAATGTGGCTGTTCGAATCGTTTCAGCTACCCTATGAAGGCTGCATGAATAAACCGCATAGATTATGAATTTATTAGCAATCTTAAGAGAGAATAATTTGTTTTAAGGCTTCATGTCCACCACAGGAACCATGATTCCTTTGTTATTTTATACATTGGTGAATGGGCATACCTGGCAGATACTCTAATGTTAAACCAAATGCAAATAGAGAAGTCACTTTGCTATAATATCACCATAATCACAGGAACAAAGGAACGCCTCCCTTTTCTCTCTCTTGTTATTTGTTCTAACTCTAGTCTTTGGGAATATAGTTATGGCATTTCTATTATCGAACTCATAATTTCTATTCATTGGATTTGTGAGTCAGTCTGTGTCTTATTTTATAAAATATAAATTTATTAGATCACTTGTCATATTAGGATTTTATAATGAAAAACAATTGGTTTTGGTGTGGATGTATGTGTGTGTGGTGGGGATAGTGAAGATTCAGTAAACATTCTTTCAATTCTTAGAGTACTTGAATTATTTTGTTGTTTACTTGTAAGTTTTTAAGTCTGATACTAATGGATATTCATGGAAAAGTATTAATATGTGTTTTTAAAAAGCATTTTACCTTAAATATGTAAACTATAATCAAATAAAGAATCGAAACTTTAATTTATAAACGTGCCAAAGCAAAAAGGACAGTTCCCACAATATTTTGTCATAACTAATTTAAAGATTTATTTTTAGAGAATATTTATTTATTAACTGAAAGTTAACTACAGCATAAAATAACCGTATAAACAGTTTATCCAATAAAATACAATATCATTTGATCACATTTCCAATATTGCATTTTGCCTACTAACAGCCCAAAATATGACATTTATCGTTTGGAAAAAAATGTCACTATTTGGCACAGAAGTCTATTTACATAAGAGCTTGTTTCATTTGTCATTTATTCCAATAACTTGAGAACAATTATTTGCAACTAAATTTAACAGTGTTTGTACAAGTACTTTCAAGCTAAAATACTGCTAAAAAATTCTAATACACATGCAATTCAATATGTTTACATAATAACGTATATTTATTATGAAACTTGTGACTCTAAGAACTTTATAGAATATGAATACAGGAGTCACTCTACCCTCTACTGAAACATGGCCACATCTGAGATAAGAGACACTGCTGAGCAGAAGAGTCCTGCATCGAGTTAAAATGGGTTGACTACTCAGACTGTTAAGGAATGCTACTGTGCCATCATTGAATCACTTGACAGCTCAATTCACACCAAACTACAACAGACTTTTAAGCATGAGACCTTGGCAACCAACAAACTTGTAGCACAAGCAGCCTTGGCAGAACACACTTATTATGCAGGTGATCTCTGTTTTAAGCAAAGCTCATATTGAAAATCCAAATATACAAAACAGATAAATTAGAGAATGATTCTTTGTATTCTAAAATGGGTTTTCTGCTTTAGAAAATGATTCGGAAGTTTCCTTTAAATGGCAGCTCCCTTAATGCATTTAAAATACAATTTGGTTTATGAAACTTCAATTTACATGTGACTTTTTACACAACCATTGTGAAGCAAAATATACCTATATACAATCCTTAATTTTCCCTATCAGTATTAAGGTAAGTGTTTTATCATTGTATTGGTAAAAGACACTTAAGCGAAATATTATCTTTTAAGCCACTTAAATATGTAGTAAATATTGCCTGTAAAACATGGATAGTCCAGAAAATTTAAGTACATTTGTGATTTTTGTATTTACAATCTTAGTAGTCATCTTTACAAAGTAGATCTTCAGATAGCACAAGTATATGGCTATCTTTAGGCCATAATACTAGGCTCTATTCTGCAAAAACTGTTTTATTTTATTTTATTTTGGTGGTTTTATTCCTTTTTGCTATGTAACTCCAAAGAGATGATAATAGTGGTTACACTGTAGCTAGACTATTTATGATAGTTTGGTTTTATACTTCATTGCACAGAATTACCTTTAAAAACGTTACCTCTTACATTGCATTACTGTTTCACTGTTTACTCTGGGTGATTGTCATTCAGGTAAGGTTCTCCTTTATCAGCACTAAGTGCCTTGCCAGGGTGAGGGTGGGTAGTATGGGGAGGAGGGGAGTGAGGTGGGGAGGGAAAGATAGAGATCCTGCTCACTGTATCTCTGCTCCCTCAGTACACAGCCTAGAGCCTGGTACTTAGGAAGCAAGCACTCAATTAACTATTTATTGAATGAATGAATGAAGAAATGAATGGATTAGATGAATTGTCTGGAAGGCTTTCTTCACTCTAAGATCCAATCCAATATGTTTCTGGAATGTGTACAATAAAAATGAATTTTCAAAGTCTAAAAAATTATAGAACCTTTCTCTCACTCTTCATGTACTATTTGTAAAATTCATAAAATATTGAGCCCTTGGAAAAATATTGATGACTTGGAAACATTTAGAAAAATTAAGTCACCTTAGAGGTCAGAGGACAAAGAAGAGGAAATTGAAGGGTCATTTCCTTACTCACCAACTGCTAGAGAGAACTAACAAGGCACACAGGTTGACCAAAGTCCAGAACCAAATTAGACTCTTGGCAATTGTTTCCAGACTGAGAAGTGGTACTTTTGAGTGTTTTAATACAAATTTAGCCACAGGTATATTTAGAAACAGTGAAAGCAACTAATTAAGAGCTAGAATAGAAGAGAATTACCATTTGCCATTTGTAGGGCATTCTGTAGCCTAGAAACATTTCACTGTGATGATGCTCATACCCCTTACAAGCAGCATGTGAAATAAAGGAGAAACAACAAAATCTAGCTGTGGAAGATAAAAATAAAAATCCTAAAATAAAATATGTTTGAAAGTGCTTGAGCAGATAAAGGAAAATAGAATATAGTAGGTGGGGATGCTAGTAAGTTAATAAAACTTAACATGTTTATGATTGCATTAGAAAATAAAGCTTCAAAGTATATGGTGTATTATGCTTTTAAATAAAATAGTCTGGACTACATTCAAATGATTTCATGTGAAAACCTAATGCAAATAAAATAAAAATCTAAGAAGCATGAGAATATGGAATTAAACTATAATTATTAGGCAAAAGAGTTTATGGTTTTGAGTTCTTCCAGGAGGCCTCTTTAAAACCTATGCAACTAAATGAATATTAAGGTATCTCTCTTTAAGCTTAATGAGTTAAATTTGCTATGGACATTTTACAGGAGTGATTTTACTTTCAAAAGAACAAGAACAAACATTGAAGTGAAATCACTACATTCATATCTCTAGTCATATAGTGTAAGCCTGAAGACTAGCTTAAGAGAATATATATATATATGTCCATTTGCCTTCATGATCACTTCCCAAAATACCTAGCTCTGTATCTGTATTTATCTGCACCAAATGAGAGCAGCCAAAAGAGGAGTTTTGAAACTCTTTTATATATAAATGCTTCATTCAAAGACAAAGTGGTTTCCAGGAGCCATCTCCAAGTTCAACTAGCATTATATTCTAGCTCATCTTCGGTGAAAAGTAAAATCTCTGTACATTAACTTTCTTGTTCATAATTTCACCATTTTGAACTTTGATTTAATGGATTAAAATAAGAATTATGATCTCTAATCAAAGAATAAATATGTTAGGTTGCTACTGTAGATATTCAGAGATTTTAGATTGTTAAAGAGATTGTTTTTCCTGAATACACTTTATATATACATATTTACTTTGTTGTTTCTTTTTTTTTTAAAAAAAATCTATTTGCACCAGTAATTATTAATCCAAATAATTTGGATTTAAACTATTTCTTATTGAAAACCTATCACATCAATTGTTTATAGTGACAGACAATAAACTATTAGTCATTTTAAAGCTTTAAAAGTAAGTTATCAGGATCCACTTTAATCTCCACATGATAATAAAGGATTATTATGTGCAGTAACCTATTTATGAAAAGGAAACAGTGTGCTTCTTTCAGACGCCATCACTTGCTTTAATAAGGGATTCAAAAGCTGGACTACTTTATATGCAGATCACCATCCTAGTTGCATAAGGATTTACAATAGACAAAACAAAACTATTTTTTGTTGTAAAGAAGGGCTGTTTGTTTAAATCACACAATAACCTTTGCATCTAAAAATTATCTACAGGCTAATAAGGCTTCATAAATGTTACATAGACTTGGATAGTTAAATCATTTTAATGCTAAGACCAAAATGAAAGGCTTGTATAAGCTGACAAGGAAAAATTCAAGTAACACAACGTCTAAAGAAGGCAGAAGGAAAAAGATGCTTACTATCTTAGTTTAAGTAACTATTAACTGATTTGGAGATGCAAATAGTACATGATTGATAGCACCCCATTAATGCTTCAATTAAACTCAAGAGGAAAATGCTGCTTTGTCAGAAAATGTGAAAAATGAGAAGTATTCTGAGTCTAACCTTCGATCCTAAAAGAAATAGAAAATAATATACACATTTTTATCTCTGTTGCCTTGAATTTTCAGAGAACTTACTTGGGAAGTTTTAATTTTACCTTTGAAGTCTTCCTTCAAGGTATTGAATGGCTCATATGTCTTTGTTAAATGAGGTGTGTGGCGGCCTCTACTGGTGTGTGTTTATAGAAAATGTTTCAATTGCAGAAAAAATACTAATTTCAATTAAAAAGTTAGAAATACAGACTCTTTCATTTAAATATATAAAAATATCTAATTTAATGCAGAAAAAATATATTACAAGTTGTGTAATGTACTCTTACTTAGGAAAATAATCTAAAACACTGACCATGTTAGTGTAAAATAATGATTTACGGAAGTGCATTAATTGTTCAATTCACTCTGATATTGGGTTGAATATATTTTATTAATGAATTATTAATACCAACTGAGGCGGCTTATTACCTCTGGTCCATAGTTAAATCCCCTTAGTTGACTTAAATAAAATCACTTAGAAGGAACCCAGAGGAAAGGAAATATTTTATAGTTAAGTCTACAAAGTCCTATAACTAGAATCATTTGATGACAGGTTGGTTTCTATAACTCAAGCAAACTGTACACTGACTTGATATAGCTGAAACATCAATCTATTTACAGTGTTTTCAATTTCAAAAATACAACACATTAAAATATGTTCGATTTATCAAAGCTAAAAGCAACATTTAAGTAATATACTTAAAGTGCGAAGGCACTTTAACACAAAGAAGTGATGCCCAGTGGCTATACTTGATAATTGAGTATGGAAATACCATATAACATTATTTACAAAAGAAGTTATAGTCCCAAAATATCTTGGGGATCTTCTACAAAATACGCTAAGTGTCCATTTTCATTTGAAAAGTTTGCTTATTCTTTTCTAATTCACTATAAACTCCTTGTTCCACTCCCACACTGCAAAAACAAGATATTTTTTAAACAAAACCATAAACAATATATATGAAAAATGCATTGTAGAAATATCCATGTTCATTGATGATTCTTGAGAATAGAAAGAAAAAAAAAACAGTAGGGGAGGAGAGCAAGAGAGAAATAATTTAAAGGAAAACTTGCAAAAGCAATATCATTGCTTCACCCCATCTCCCAAATATTTCCAGAGTCCCCCATTAAGGCTGGGAAAGGGAGAACAGAAACAAACACAAAAGCAAATGCAGTGCTTCCAACAGTTTGGAGCAGCATCCTTTGATGCCATAGGGTTGTAAATGATTTCCCTTCACAGCTGACTGATTGCAGTTTGTTTTTCCAGAACTTCGAGGTAGTCTGGTTCTGACTGTGGCTTAGCTTGCAGTAAAGGGTGGTCAGGTTTTGACTGCCCCACAAAGCATTTCCTGGGAGTTCCATATAAAACGGTTTTATTGATTCTGTCTTGGTTTTGGCGTCGAGATTCATATGAAGGGGCGAACTGGCTTTTAGGTAAGGTACAAAAGTTATAGTGGACTAGGCCTGCACCAGGGAGTTCCTTGACTCGCTCAGCAATATTTTGATACAACAGCTCAGGCTCTCTTGGTGTGGCCTGCTTTTCTAGCAACTCAGTGGCACTTATTGTGTATGCAAGTGTGGCTGGCTCTTCTTTTTTCTCTTCCAAGTTGCCATAGCTAAACTCTTGAAGGTTTCGATAATAGGCTACTGGGTCTCCTTCCTTCTGCATGTAGATGGGGTTTTGGCACATTTGACCCACAGGTGGGGGGATATAGTTATAGACGTGGCCATCTGTTTTATCATGAGTCTCTGTGTTGTAAGACCCATACTGTAATTGAAAGGAACTTACATCTAGGTTGTTGGCACTCCTGGGAACACTTGGCACTCCCTTTCGGCGTTTCAGGACAAAGACGAATAAACCAGCACCAAAACAGACAGATAAGATGAAAACAACAAGCAATCCTAAAATTAAGACAGAAAGTGGAACTTCAGTGTGTAGTTCAGGATAGGAACTAGGAGACACACTAAGTGACTGAGGTGTGTCTGTATTGTGATTCATTGACAAGATGGTCCCATCTGAAAAGTTTGGACTGTCTGGACAAATAGCATCCCTCCCTAGGAACTTCAGTATCTCCCCTGCATGCTTAGCAGGAGACTCACAAGTCACTTCATTGATGATGACAGGAGAATTGGCATGTTCTGTCCAATCCTTTAGTCCCATGATATCACAGGTACAGTCCCACGGGTTCTCTTGCAGATCTATCTGGATAAAAGCTGGAAGCTGATCCAGAACTCCTTTCACAGGCAGGTGAGAAAAATGGTTGTTTCTCAGATTCAGCCTGGTGAGGGCTGTGCCCCCAAATATATTATCAGGCAAGGACCGCAGTAGATTATTATTCAGAAATAGTAGCTGTAGGTTAATCAAAGCATCAAAGGTCAGCGGCTTAATTTCTTTAATGACATTATACTCTAAATAGAGATATTGCAAGCTCTGCAGTCCATCAAACATAGAAGGATACAGCACTTCAAGGTGATTGCCATTCAGATAAAGTCTACGTAAACTGGTCAGGTTTGTGAAGGCACCTTCCTGAATGACTGCAATCCTATTGTTTCCTAAATGCAACAAATCCAAAGAACTGTATTCTAAGAGGTCGTTCTTATAGACAGTTTGAAGATAGTTCCCCGTTAGGTAAAGTTTCTTTGGACTGGTAGGTTTGGGCTGCAGGTCAGAGATATTAGTGAACTTCCTTTCTTGGCAGTTTACATTTAGACCATTGTCTGAGCTCTGAGAGGTGCAGACACAGCTACTGGGGCAGGTGAGGGGCACAGGGGACCTGGTCTGATACACCATGATCGGTCCAAAGCTCTGCCTGTCCTTTGACACAGTTACTCGGGGAGTTGGACGATTTCTCATTTTGGGAGGCCGGCTGCCTTTTGGAGCCCTTGTTGGGTTGAGAGCAGGATTCATTGTAGGTAACAGCCTTTGGACATGTGTGTCAGCATGGCTGCCCCTCTGACTGGAGTCACTGGCACTTTTTCTGGGACAGAGGTCTTGCCTGGTCAGTTGGGTCACATCTTTCCCATGCAACCTAAAGGGAGTTTCACAGACAATTTCTCCCACAAAAACAGTTATGGTGTCCAGCCAGGCTTTTAGAGGAAGTAAGTCACAAGTGCAATTCCATGGGTTTTCCTCCAGCTGAATCTCCATGATTCCTCCGATATGTTCAAGAACACCAGCGAAAGGCATTACTTTCAGCCTATTCCCCCTCAGGTCTAAGTGGGTCAGCAAAACAAAGCGAAACACATTGCTGGGCAGGGATAGAAGAAGGTTGTCATTTAGGATGAGCACTTTGAGCTTATTAAGTTTGCTGAATGCTCCTGCCTCGATGGCACTGATATAATTATAGTCGGCCTGGAGGTACTCCAGGCTCTCCAGGCCCAGAAAGGTGTCCTCCCTCAATACCTCGAGCTTGTTGTTGTTGAGGTGCAGTCTCTTGAGAGTTTTCAGGCCGCTGAATGCCCCTGTTCGGATCTCTTGTAGCCCGTTGTTACCTAGGTGAAGAGTCACTGCGTTGGAGTAATTGACAAATTCATTTGGGTATAGTTTTGTCAAGAGGTTTCCATTGAGAAAAAGCTGATAGATTCGATACTGAGGGGGCTGAAGCAGGCTGACAGTTGTAAATCCTTTGTTTTCACAGTTAATATTCAGTACATTTTCCTTCTCTTCACACAGACAGCGGATCTTGCAAATGTCCTTGGCAGTTTTGCGACTCTCTGTCTGTAAGATCCCGGCCGTGGTTAACACACTGAGGAACCAAACGCTGCTCAGCATCTTTAGGCCTCTTTGGTGTCAGCTCAGGTACATACAGGCAAACCTTGGGGGGGGGAGCGGAGGATGAAGCGGGATATGGGGAAGAAAGAAACAAGGCAGCCGGATTAAAATGGCAAAGCAAAGAGGCAAAGTGGGAGGAGAGGAAAATGAGGGGGTGGGCAACAAGGCAGAATGAAATCAGGGTGCTTTTCAAAGCAGTTTCTTCTCTCTTCTCTTTACCCTCCCCCCAACCCCAGCCCACCCACACAAGTTTCCCACACAGAGGCTTGCACCTGATTTCCCAGCGGGTAGCAGCAGCCGCGGAGTCATTAGTAACCGAGTTTCCCCACTAAATCCAGCCCATGTCGTCCTCCCCTGGGGTATCTGCAAGAGACCTCTGGGGCATCTCGCCCGTCTTGGGCTCGCAGCAGAAATTGCTTTACTTTTTTAAAAAGCTGCTTAAAAAGGAGGTGGGAAAATCAGGAATCAGGGGGCTGGCTGCGGGGGTGCAGATGGCAAAGACAGCGAGGGGTAGGGGGTACTCACACATCAGGAGAAGACGAGACCCCCCTCCTCTGCAGTCTCACAGGAGTTTAGCAACTTCAGGAAGAGAGGGAGAACAGAGTAAAAGAAGACGCCGCTTCCAGGGGGGACGCCCTGCTTTCTGTTGGTTGATTTGATTTGCTAGGGGAATGCGCAGAAATAAAACCTCCTGCCGGTGGCAGGAAAGGAAGAGGAGGGTTGGAGTGGAGGAAAGCCTAGCCGCCAGGGACTCCAGGTGCGATTGTGTAGGGAGGTCAAGGAGCCGGCTGGCCGGGTCGGCTGGCGGCAGCGATGGCGGAGCCTGGGCGCACGTTTCCAACAATCCGGTGGCTGCGACAGCAGTGCGTCTAGCAGTTTGAATTTGAGAGGCTTTGCGGGCTCCCTGGACAGGGCTAGGGTGACGTCACGGGGGAGGGGGCAGGCAGAGGAGCAAGAGCACCCGGTGGGGGAGGGGGGGCAGATGCTTCCCTTCCCTGCCAGTGGCTTTGCAAAGCTCAATTCTCAGCTGCCTCAGTTGATTGTGAACTACTCCACTTCCAACCTGGCTGGCAGCTGGAGAGGCTCCTGCAGAGGGGCTTCTTAAGGAGGGGACCCGCTAAGGGGCTGGCACCACCCGCACTCCTGGGCCCCCCCGCTGAGTGGTTGCTTCCCTTCCTCATAACCTCCCTCACCTACACACTGCATATGGAACAGTGACCTGGCCATTCCAGGATGGTCTTATCCCAGATTCCCAAGCGGGGGTCCTGACTGTACAATGAAGAGGTGTGGGAGTGTGGGGTGTGCGTTTGTGTGTGTGTGTGTGTGTGTGTGTGTGTGTGTGTGTGGTGTCTCTTTGCTACAGGATTGGTGCCTGTATGTCAGCTTCTAGCTCAAATGTTCTTGTTGGGGAGAGTGGGGTGTGTGTGAGTGCACCAGTGTGTCTGTGTAGGAGGGTGAGGAGTTCTCTTGAGAGATTTATACATACAGAGCTTTGTTTGAGTGCTGAGAGAATTACTTTCTGGGTGGTGACCAGCCAAACAGATATTTGCCTGGACTGTGAAAGCCAGCTCAACTTTAGCTTATAGATTGAGATAAACAAAAACAAAACCCTTCTCTCCCTGGGGTTTATACTTAGTCAGATAATGAGGTTTAAACATATACTTTTTGCCTGGAGGAAGGAGACGAGAAGTGGGTGTCAGAAAAGTACTGCCAGGCTGAGCCTCAGCTGGGAGTAGGAGCCCAGGGAAGGGTGGTTGAGCCCTCCAGGCTGCAGGGGCAGAGGAGCTAGAGAACAGAGAAAGGCACTGTAAGAAGACCATCTCCTGAGAAAGAGAAGCCAGGGAAAAGGACAGGTATGTCACTAGTTTCTGTGTCTAAAAAATGGAAAAGGAAATGTTCAAAGGATGTGTCTGTCCCACAAAACACTTCAGCTTGCTTTCCCTTCAGTTCAGACCTGCTGCGGAGAGAGTCAACACAGGGTCCATTGTCTGGCTGAATGTGCAATAGACAACTACATAGGAAAAATGAGCCATTTGGGAACACAGAAAGCCCCCTGCTTCTCCCCTCCTCCATCCTTAAGCCCTGGTCCTAGGATGGTTCAGCTCATACAAGCTCCTTCCTCCTCAAGAAGGGCTGGGGGTAGTTTATAAACTCAGACACTAAGGCAACCTGTGGCTCCTGTGATCTCCTGTGCATTTTTCTCAGGCTTTTTCTCCCCAACCCCCATACCTTCGCCTTCCAAGAAAAGCCATGGATCAGACATCGGAACCCCTCTTTCCCCCAGTAATTCTTGCTTGGCTTTTAGCAAGATCATTTCCTTCTCAAGCTTTAAATTGTCCTTCTGTATGACATAGGACAACCTTGAGATGATGGGCTCTGGGGGTAGGAGCAGCCCTATTAATGGCCTTCCAGTCTCTATTGCAATTACTTCATTAGATGCAAGCAGTCTGATGCAATGTGAACACAATTAAGCTTCCTATCCTAGCAAAGGGTGCATTTGTTTCCACATATTTCCAAATATTAAAAATACATAGTTCCTAGAGAGACAAGGTTTATTGATTCAATCATTCATTCAACAAACATTTATTAATTAGGTTAATTTTTCATTGATGTAGAAGCCAATGTGAGAGCTGAACAAGACCTCAGAAATCAGGTTCATTTTACAGATGGGGACATTCTTCAACCAGGGAAAGTGCTGACTTGCTTGAGCTCAAGAAACAATTAGAAACAGAACCTAGGGATTCTGAGTACCAGTCCAGTAGCTTTCCAAAAAGCTCACTACTGCTTAATATGAATTAGGGAAGAACTATTTACCTAAACTTAAATAGTGGTGGTGGTGTTTTACCTAAATGTGTTCTTTTTCAAAATCGTGTTTGAAAGTGGAATACTAGTTTTAGTTCTCAAATACAGTAATTTCCTTCAAGATATTAATGATGCTGTCAATACTCCTTGATAAGAGATTATTTTGCTAGGAATTTGAGAGGGCGGGAAAGTGGGGGGATCTGGGGGCTCCTGACACTTACAGAATCAAGGAAATGTGTGATAAGCTAGCTGGAGGGAGTGACACCTGGAACCCTGAGATGGTGTGGCAGGTCTTCCTGCTATGATGAGCTTCCTACACTGGTTGGCTGACCCTTCCACCGCTCCTTCATCTCCTCTCTGTCCCTGAATGTCCGCAGCCGCTTTGTCCACACAGTTATTAAAAACAAATCAGCCTCAAACCTGATAAGGCACTTTAAGTAAGTTTCGGCTGGGCATATTGGAAAGAACCACTGCAGTACCTTTCTAAGGAGAGCAGGTTTTTGAGGTGATTCAGGATGAACTGGGAGCCCGAGCCCAACGGAACAGAGGCGGACATTAAAATAGGGAAAATCGCTGAGGCGAGGGAGGCTTAAACAAGGACTCCTGTCTCCTCAGTCTCCCTTGTATCTAACCAAGAAGAGCCTGACTCTGGTCGCCAAGGCTTCCACAGGACGCGATGGGGGCCAGAGGGCGTGCAGCCCACCTCCATCTCGGCCTGTCAGGCCACCTGGGGGTTAAGAGGAGTTCGACAGGCCTGAGAGGGGGCACAGCCTGCCTACAGCCCACTTCTCTAAACACCCACCCGCAGTCAGCTGGAATCCCATTTCCGAAGGCTCTTCCGGGAAACCTGGGGTCTTGGAGAGTCCTCAGTCGCAGGGAATGGATAACTGGCAACTAGCGCGGCCATTCCACCCTCCCTCTTCCTAGCCGCTAGACTCCTGGCGCCCGCCGCACTGCCCCAAAGCCGGGACGGCCACTCGCTCCACACTTGACCCTGGGTTTGGGCACCGCGGGCCGATTGGATTCCAAGCAAGCTGTAGCTCGCACCGGGTGCTTGGGCCGCCCCTCCCAGCGTGGGCCACTGGGCTGAGCTAAGCACGGAGCCCGACCACGCCCGCTCAGACTGTCTTGGGGCGAGGAAGCCCCAGTAGGGATGAAGATTAGAGGGCGGCCGCCAACATTGTGTCCTCAGCAGATCACGCCTAGCCTCTTTACGACTGTTCCCTTTGCGAGGGGAAGCTTCAGGGAAAGGCAAGGGGCTGAGGGAAGCCAGTTCGCCAGCCGCGTCGCCAGAGAGTCCGAGAGTGCTCAGAACTTACCAAGCAAGCGCGCCGCCCGGATCTTCTCCCAGAGGCGCCCGCAGCATCTGCGACTTGAGGAGGCGCAGGAGTCCTCAGAGCCTCGGACTGGCCGGGCCCCAGAGCGAAGACAAGGCAGGGAGAGCGGGAGGTGCCCCCAGGACAGGAAGATCCTCTCGGGAGCTGCTCACCACCGGGCAACGCTTCTGGCAGGAAGGAGGGAGGGAGCGAAGAGGGAGGAGGGAAGTAGAGCGAGAGGGAGGAGAAGGGAAGGAGGAAGGGAGGAAGAGACGGAGGGAAAGACCGAGAGAGAGGGAGGGAGGGAGAGAGAGGGAGAGAGGGAGGGAAGGAGGGAGAGAGAGGGAGGGAGAGAGGGCGGCCCCACTCCAGCACTTATCAATCACCCGGCAGATCAAATGTCCCCGCAGTGCACCCTGGAGGGGGATGTTCCAGCCAACAAAGGAGCTGCTGCTCCATTCCTTTAACAAGCGCCACGCCACCGAGCGCTGCTCACGGTCCCTCTCGCCTGGAACTCTGCCCAGCCCTTGCAGCTTCTACCGTGGGCTGCCGCTCGCATTCGGTCAAGTGAAATAAGGATGGCACTCGGTCTGTACCAAATCCGAGGGGAGAATAAGACCACTGGGTGGAAGTTACGGACAAGGGAAAAAGCAGCCAGCCACCCGAGCTGGACACCCTTGGAGACTGCTGCCTCCCCTAACTAGTAAGCGCCCAATCACTGGAGTTCGCAGGCAGATATTTAAGGACCTCCTACGAGGATGGTAAACAAGAAATTTCCATGTAATATAGAGCTGAACTAGACTTGTGCAAATGTGTTAACAAAAGCAAGCCCTTGGCAGCATTCCAGTGCCTGTTCATTCTTTTTATTCTTCATGACATTGCGTGGGTCTAGAGTGTTCTTTTTGCCATCCTCCGTTCCTTTTCCTCGTTTCGTCTTCCTCTTATTAGTAGTCCAGGTGGTTGTGATTCTATTAAAGGAAGGGCACTCATGAAAGAGTCAATGTACTTCAAAAGGGAGGTTCGGTTTTCGCCAAAAGCATTGCGGTTCCCCTCAAGACTTGCTTTCTATGGGCCTCTCCTCCACTCTCCCAGTTTATTCTAGATAAAGTTGCAATTTTATTAGTTTCTGTGAGGAGTAGGGAGTTCATTTGATATCACCAAGATATTTCCCCCTAAATCCTGGAGGAGAGTGGCCTTAATTGAAGTTGTCACCACCCCTTGTCCTTTTCACACTTGCTATAGGGTCTGTAAAATTCTAAATCGTCCAGAATATCCATAAACTTGACCGTGGAGAGCAGAAAAGGGAGATGAGGAGAGAAGGCTACAAAATCAGAGCAAAAGTTACCCCCCCTCCCAGCTAATGACTCTGCATTGGGATTTGTTTTCAAGGTTATTTCCCATACATCTAAACCAGGCACTGGTTCTCATGGCACTGACTTCCACCTAATTCTTGTCCTTACCTTTGGGAATCTTTTGTGTTTCCTCCTTTCTTCTCTTCTTGGCTTTCTTTCATAATGGTTTTCTAAGGAGACTATGCTTGCCCTTTTAAAAAGAAAACTATTGATAATCTTATATTACAGACACGTACAGAGTTTACTTTAGTTATAGTCCACATAATTATAATCATATTTCTGTGTTTTTAAGGATCATTACTTTTCCTTTTACTTCATGCTTGAGAATTCCTTTCTGAAATTTTCCTACTATTCAATTTCAGAATAACAGTCTTCACATATGCCCATGGGAAGGCTATTTACAGTTACATATTCAGAAACATTGCTCTTATTTTTTAATATCCTTATTAGTGTAAGACATTCAGTGTGCTGTTTGCTACAGACTATAGCAACAACCTGGACACATCATATTAGTACTAAATGAGATCCATTAATGCTGTTCCCTCTCTGTCTTTACCTCATTTCTGACTGTCATCTTTTCATGTAGTTATTTAATGGGTGCTATAAACAACCACAAAACACTTAGCCAAGAGGCCATTCAACTGCAGAAATAATGAGACAGTCATGCTGAAAAAAAGGAGACAGTTTACTGAGAAAGGTGGTGCATCTGTCTCATCTCTAGGCAAAGGGAACACACACAAAAGCAACTTGTATACAGAGTAAGTGAAGAACAGAGCGTCAATGATAGAAACTAATATTTTATTTGGATGTAGTAGAAACATGTAATATATGGCATGCATATATTTTAATTAGCCTTCTAAGCAAGTCTAACATGCTTACCAGTCTTCAGAAAGCATTTAGCAGCCTGCATTTCCACATGGGACCACACTGATAGTAAGATAAAATTAAAAAGAGTAGACTTTTCTTTTTGTCAGTGTAAAATTTTCAAGTAGGTGGGTAGCTATTTCTAAGGGTGCTCTGACTGCACAGACACAAAAAATGATGAGCAATACAAAACTTTCTATGAGATTGTTGCATAGGTAATTACAGTAGAGGAAAGCTTGAAGTGTGTGAAAAATTTAAATATACCAATTTATTTGAAAGCTGCCTTATACTGACTTTTCTAAAATTTTCTGTTAGGGGAAATTTTCCAAATATAATTGAATACCAAAGATGTCCATATTAATGTACTTTTGTTAATTAATAAAAATCACATTATTAATTCTTTCCTGTAGAAGCATTGTAAAATGTATCCATGTGTTTGTGTGCTATTCTCTATTGTACAGCTCATGTATAGTTTGTGTAACTAAAGGGCTTAGAGATCCCTAATTGCAATGCTAGTGGGAAAACAGAGAAATAAAATTAAATTTTGCCTGAGTTTTTACAATTTTGTTCTAAGATTAGAAGAAAACCAGAAATATCATCTAGGATGAATGAAAAAAAAATCTGCATATGTTCTATCTAGAATTGCAAATGCTATCTAATGACTGTTTAGCACATAGATTACCTGAGGGTGTTGTTTCTCTAGCTTCTCCACACCTCTCTAGAACTAGCTCTCTTTACAAAATAAAAAATAAGACAAAGAAGAAGCCTCACGCAAAGTCAGTAATTTTAAGACAGAAGTGCTGCATTTTCAGTGAATAAACTCCCTTTAGAACCAAAGGTTTCAAAGAAGAGGTCCATAGCGCAAATTTCTAAATAAAGAAATGCTAGACTAAAAGGACATGCCCTTAATACCAGTAATTATAGTTTGAAGGATATTGTAGACTTTGGTTCCTGATGCTATCAAAAGTGTGGATATTTTTACATTCAATTCAATTATTTTGATTATTTTGGCAGTGGTTTTGGCTTGGTTGGCATAGTGCTGGGCCAGAACCCAGAGCAGTTTGTCTTTTAATCAAACACATAGCCAAGGCCTGAGAGTCCAGTAGCCTGGGTTCAAATCCCATCCTTACTACTTTCTCATAGTGAGACCAGAGCAGGCACTGCACCTCTTTAAGTTTCCCCATGTGTAAAAATGGCTACTGGCACCTGCCACATGGAGTCAGTAAAGGCAGGATGTATACAGAGCTCGTGAATTATGAGGTGGTACACATATGTACAGGGAAATCTTGAACTGAAGGATTCCTAAAGTCACTTCTTAAAATAACTAGATTATACAAAACATTTTATAGCTGTTTTCGATGTTTCTCATGACAATCCTGACTAGGTCAATATAATTATCCAGACTTTACAAAAGTGGAAAATGAGACTCAGAAAATTTAAGTAACTTGCCCATACTCATACTCACACTGTTGGTTAGATGGTTGATTTTAGTGAGAAAACAATATTTTAATTTAAGTTGGATAATAGAATCAAGATTAGAAAAATATTTATGATTTCAGTTGGGACTATATAATGTCAAACATTCAAAAGCAAACTTCAAAAAATTCCACCTTTTTTCCAGATTTTTCCAAATAGTTGGATATATGTATATATCAGGGCTCAGCATTGATTATATTGATATATTGGGCCAGATGATTATTTGTTGTGGCCCAGTGTCCTATGCAATGTATGAGGATTAACAGCACCCTTAGTAGCATATATATATGAAATATGTACATGTGTATAAATGCCTTACTTTTGTTTAGCACTTAGACAATTTGATGGAACATAATGCATATTAAGACTTAGTGACAAAGCAAGAGCAAGATACCAGGCTGCCTGATGGCCTGCTTTGTGATCCACTACACTTTGCAGCCTGTCACGTCTTATGCCCCAAGTGCTGTGAGTGGAGGCAGACAATGCATACTGGTGCTGCTCCTCAGGAAGAAATATCTTTTACATCATGACCCAGGGTACTGTCATGGAGTGAAATGTGCTTTCTGAAACAATAGGACCCTCATCATATCCTCACACTCTAAAATATTCTATTGTAGTTGAGTTTTACAAATGCTGCATGTGGTCCACTAAATTGATCTTAGGAGTGACTAATAGATGGTATTTCACAGTTCAAATAACTCTTGCACACTGGATTGGGTAGGAAAAAAAATGTAAAATGGGACAGAAAAGAGAAAGGGGGCAGTAGAGAAAGAGGGGAAGAATAGAAATAGAGGGAAAAATGAAGTGCATGTGGTGCAAAGTTACAGAAAAACTTATGGCGCTCAACCAATTACATCAAGTGCCACTTACTGATGGCATCTGTTCTCTAATGGCTCTAGATATCCCCCCTTGTTGGCTGAGTCCAGTGATTTATCAGTAAGGACCATATTTAAGCTTACTGGACTTGAGAGTGCATTTACATGGCAAAAGCCACAGATTTATAGATAAGGCCTAGGACAGAATTAGTATGCATTTCATTCAGCCTGACACATTCCATTCTATTAATCTCACTGCTGCTAGAAGTTATAATTTGGTCTGGAGTTACAACCTAATGTGTTCAGGAGGAAACCAAATGTATTAGGTTTGACATTGTACTTTATTGGAATGGCATAATGCAGTTGATCCTCTGTACTAAGTTCTGTCGATTTTATTTATTTATTTATGTTTGGCTAGTATAAATATATGGTAAAGTATGTGCTGTGGTAGAGAGTTTAATGCTGACTCTGCTGGAACATTCAAAACTGTCTGCATGCAAGATGTCCAGTTGTAGAAGAGCAACTACTAAGGATTTGCATTAAATATTTCTGATTTTTAAAAATGCCATCATTTGTGAAGAGAACTAGTCTATTAATATTAAAAAATGGCAAGGATGACACACTCCAGATTTACTCTGAAGTAGTGATTTGCACAAAATCAAATTTCAAATAGGGTTTAGAAATTGTGGGTTCAGAGGGGACACAAGTAAGATCTAGAATGTAAATAAAATCATTTCCAAGTAATAGCTGGAT